AAAAAAAAAAAAAAAAGTATATCTAGCTTCAAAATATTCGCATCAGGTGCCTTTCTTTCAATAGCTTTAGAAAGGCGTGTGGCCGCCCCCGCGGACGCCCCAGGAGGGCGGCGGGAAGGCCCTAGGCGGCATGACCCAGTCGGTTTCTCAGTTCCAGCGGCCAGGGGGGACGTGGATGTSGTTTGGCAGCAGTTCTGTCTTTCCTGCAGACAGAGTGGCCAGAATCCCCGGGCTTCGCGGGGTCTGGTCACCGCGGGGCCGGCCTTCAGGCTCCTCGAGCGCGACGGAGGCGCCCGCGTTCGCACGCCCTCAGGGGCCTCTCGCGAAAGGAGCGGGAGCACATTTCCCCCACGTGTTTCGCCATGAAGACCTCAAGAAACTTAAAAGTAGGCCGGCGGGGACAGAAAAAAGATTAAAAGGTAAAAAACACAAAACCAAGAACAAACACAGATATATATTACGTAACGTCTGAGGGGCGACCAGAACCTCACCGCCCGGCACGCGCTCTGACACACGCGCATGCGCTCTCCTTCAACGGTCTCCGGGGCGCTACAGCGGCGCTTGGACTCCGGAAGGACGTCGCCTTTCCCGCCAGGGCTGCGCAAGGCGTTCTGGGAACTCTGCGRGCCGGAAGTCCGCCGGGGTGGTCGCGGCATCCGGCGGCTCTGGGCCGGTAGCCAGTCGCATGGGGTTAAGCAGAGGCACGTGTCGAGCTTTCTCAGCAGGCTAGCGCCGCTGCCATGGCCCAAATGACGCCAGCCACCGTGTAATTCACTCCTCCAGTTCTGGTTGTTTCCGATGGCGCCTCGACTTCTCGTGTCTTCAGGAAGGCAGTTCCCCAACAGTTCCCTACTTATAGTTTCCACCGAGTTGTAACCGTGGACAGCTCCTGGCGTCATCCTTTACAAACAAAATTAGAATGGGATGGTAATTGCAGTCTTTCCAGGAGCACAAGATCCTTACTTTTCAGATTCTTACATATCCAAATAAACTGTGTTGCTGGTATAAACAACATAAATTTTTATGTCTTCGTTATGGAGGAAGTGACCACCCCAATATGATCATTTAATTAGGCAAAGGAGACTAGAATCCTGTTTCCAGGATTAAAAGTTGTGAAGACCTTGGTCAAATAATTATTTTGCTTTACATTTCTCTCACATTTATTTGGCACCAGGGATTGAGCCCAGGGGTACTGAACCACTGAGCTACATCCCCAGTCCATTTTTACTTTTAGTTTGTGACAGGGTCTCCCTGAGTTGCTTAGGGCCTCGTTAAATTGTTGAGGCTTTGCTTTGAACTCCTAATCCTCCTACCTCAGCCTCCCCAGCCAGGCATGCACCACTGTGCCCCACATTTTTTGCATGTTCAAAGTTTACAAAAGGTTTTCTCATTCACTGTCCTATTCTTGGCTTGCCCTGTTACCAGAACTTTGTGAGGAAGACACTGGTATTGAAGTGGCCCCCCCTTCTCCACAGAAAAGCCCTCTTCACCATGGCTGACTTTAGGTCAGCAAAAGAGTTCAATGGAGATAAACTTCCTATTTTCGTGGTGCCCTGTTCACTTGGGTAACTCGCGGGGAAGATACCAGCACTCGAGGTGCTGGACACCCCTGACTAGTTTTTCACAAATGTATCCTGTAGTTTGTAGAAATCCTGGTCTTGAGCTGGGCTTCACAGAAATGTCTACRTTTTTAAGATGTTACAAATGGGCTCCATGGTAACAGTTGGCAACGGGAAGAAAGAAATGGGAGATGAAGCTCTCCCCTTCTCAGGTGTTGTCCTTGAAGAGTTAACTTGCCCAGAACAGTGAAAGAAAAAGCTGCTTTTATGTGAACTTCTGCAGACTGTGAATTTCTGAGCCCCTCCGATTACACGCTTTGTATAAAATTCTGAAACTCCCTGAACTCGGGGTTCAGGG